TTAATTGTGTCTTTCTCTAGTTTTTTTTTTTATTAGGGTAATACTTGCTTCCAGGAATGAGTTAGGAAGAATTGCTTCCCTTTCAATTTCATTGAAGAGTTTGAGGAGTGTTGGCATTAAATTTTTCTTGAATTCAGCTATGAATCCATTAGGACCTGGGCTTTTCTTTGTTGTTAAGCTTCTAGCTGCATTTTCAATTTCATTAACTGAACTTGTGTTATTTGGCAGTTTTATGTTTTCTTGATCCAGCTTTGGTAATTCATATGTTTCTAGGAATCTGTCCATTTCTTTCTTACTGAACTTATGAGAGTAAAAGTTTGCAAAGTAGGTATTGATGATCTTCTGTATTTCCACAGGATCTGTAGTGATTTCACTCTTTTCATTCCTTATTGCACAAATTTGAGTTTTTCTTTCCTTTTTTAAATAAGGTTGGCTAGAGGCTTATCAGTTTTATTCTTGCAAAGAACAAACTCTTTGATTCATTGATTCTTTGTATTGTTTTCTTAGTCTCTATTGCATTGATTTCTGCTTTGATCTTTATAATTTCCTCCCTTCTTTTGGCTTTAGGCTTGACTTGCTCTTTTTTTTTCTTCTGTTTGAGGTATAGCATCAGGTTATTTCTTTGTGTTTGTTCCCTTTTCCTGATGTGGGAATTTGCCACAATAAATTTTCCTCTGAGGACTGCTTTCATTGCATCCACAGGTTCTGGTAAGTTGTATTTGCACTTTTGTTTGCTTGTAGATATTGTTTAATTTCTTCTTTAATTTCCTCTGTGACACATTGATTGTTCAGAAGTGTATTACTTAATTTCCATGTGTTTATAGAGTTTTTACAGTTTCTTTTGTCATTAATTTCCAGTTTCATAGTACTATCATAGATAATATGCAGGGGGTAATTTTGGTTCTTTTGCATTTACTTAGGCATGTTCTATGTGATAGTGTATGTTCTATTTTAGAAAATGTCCCATGTGAAGCTGAGAAGAATGCATATTCTGTTGTTGTTGGGTGGAATGCTCTGTACACGTCTATTAAGTCCATTTTTTCACAAGTTTGATTCATTTCTTCACAAGTTTGATTCAGTTCTGTTATTTCTTTGCTGATTTTCTACATTGTTGATTTGTCTCTTTGTGTCAATGGGGTGTTAAAGTCTCCTGTTATAATTGTGTTATTGCTTATCTGATTTTTCATTTCTATTAATATTTGTTTTAAATAGCTGGGTGCTCCCATATTTGGTACGTATATACTTATGACTGTTATTTCTTCCTCTTGAAAATTTTCCCTCATCACTATGTAGTGACTTCATCCCTTCTGATCATTCTTGGTTTGAAATTCACATTGTCTGCAAACAGAATAGCTACCCGTGCCTTTTTTTTGGGGGGGGGTACCTGTTGCATGAAGTATTGTTTTCCATCCTTTGACTTTCAGTCTATGAATTTCATTGTGGATTAGATGGGTTTCTTGTATATAGCATATGGCTGGACATTGCTTCTTGATCCATTCTGCCAGTCTGTTTCTTTTAATTGGTGAGTTGAGGCCATTTACATTATTGGTTATAAGTTACATATATTAGCTTATTTTTGTCATGTTATCTTTCTGCTATTTGTTCTTTACCCTCTCCCAGTTTGTTTAACTGCTTGCCTTGCTTGGTGGTTTTTTCCTATTGGTGTTCTGGAAGTCTTAGTTATTTTTATGTCTATATAAAGTAGCTTTCAGTATTCTTTGCAGGATTGGTTTGGTGGTCATGAAGTTCTTCAGCTGTTCTTTGTCATGCAAGTATCTTAATTTTCCACTGATTTTGAAGGACAGTTTTGCAGGGTACATCAATCTGGCTTGGAAGTTGTTTGCCTTTAGGATTTGAAATACTTCACTCCATAGTCTTCTTGACCTCATTTTTTGTATTGAGAAGTCTTCCGTGATTCTGTTGGGCTTTTCATTGTAGGTAATCTGTCTCTCTTCTCTAACAGCTTTTATCCTTCTGTTTTTATGTTGGAATGTTGCTTATTATATGTCTCGATGTAGATTTATTTTGGTTATGGCTAAGTGGAATTCTATATGCTTCACTTATCTCTGTGTCAGTTTCCTTTCCCATGTTTGAGAAATTTTCACCTATTACTTCTGTAAATTTGTTTGGTCTGGGGATTTAGCTCAGTGGCATAAGCACCTGCCTGGCAAGTGCAAAGTCATGAGTTCAATCCCTGATACCAAAAAAACAAAAACTGTTGTTTTTTGTTTTTAAAAATGGGATCTCTATATCATTTGTGTTTTCACTTTTTTCATTTACACCTATTAATCTTATAATGTTTTTCTTTTCATCATCTTGTAACTGTTGAATTGTTATTTCCTGATTTCTTATTATTTTTAAAAGGTCTTTGCTTTTTGTTCACTTGCTGCAATCTTCTCTTTGAGGTCTGAAAGTCTATGTTCATGTACATTGATGTGGTTTTGCCAGTTTTTGATGGAATTTTTGATTTCCTAGACATCTCTTTGAATTTATTTCATGCATTCTATTTCTCTTTATATTGTTCATTAAGAGTTCCCAACTTTTTGCAGTGTTCCTCAATGTTTTTAACTATGTCTTTTTAAGATGTGTTCAACATTTCTTCGATTGCATTTATTATTTCTTCTTTTACCTGGGAGATTATTTCTGATCTAATTTCCTTTACAGCTTCATGGAGTTGTTTCTTTACTTCAGTTGCTATAATTTCAGAAGTTTCAGGTATGTGGCATACACTTTCTCCCATGCCCATACCTTCTAGGCTTGTTTGGCATAGGCTGGAAGTTTGAGGTTACATTTTGCTCACAAGAGTTTTGTCATTTTCCTGTATTCCCTTGGGAAAGCCAAATGCAAGGTCTCAGTTGCTTCCTGGGTTGAGAATGTCTATCCATACTGCAGGGAGTTTCTCCAGGTGAGTGGGGTCATTAGGCAGGACTTCCCAGGTCCTTAGTGACAACTGAAGGCTCCTCAAATGGTGGGAAATCTGTGGGTGGACCTTCTGCACACTCCATGTGATACTCCAAATCTCCCTGGCTGCTTGAGGTTGCTGGGTGGGACTCTAACAGAGTCTGAGTGGTGTACAAAGGCTGAACAAGATAGATGGAATATGTTGTTCAGGCATTCAACTCATGCCACATGTTATACCTAAGCTCCCCAGCTGCTTGGTGTTAATGGGTAGGGCCCTAATAGGTTCCAAGTGAGCTACCAAGATTGCATGGTTAGGTGGAGTTTGCTGTGCAGGCCTTCCACCCGTGCCACTCAGTACAAGAGGTTCCTCTGACACTTGGGATCACTGGGCAGGGGCCAACAGGACTCAAGCAACCTACCAAAGCTCTCTGGCTGTTTGGGGATGCTTGGCAGTGCCCTACCAAATTCAGAACAAGGTACCAAGGTTGCACAGCTAGGTGGAGTTCACAGGGTAGGCCTCAGTCCCCCTGCCTTGAAATGTCATGGATTCTCACTTTTCTCTACTATAATTAAAGCCATCATAACTAGAATTGCTTCCCATAGTTTCTTCCTGATCATAGTTCCTTCTTTTTCTATTTCATCTTTTAATATGTCATCAAGATAACTTTTGTAGAACTCTTTCACAATTACAGTCTCCATTTGAAAGACTATAGGCATTTTTCTGTTTAATGTACCAAATGTTACACTCTGCTAGTAGGCTTGAAGATGGTTCCACAACTCAGTTCTTACTAACATTTTCCCTGACATTGAAGGAAAAAAGGCAGGAGTTTCCTTTTGAGATTGCAGAGCTGAGAATGGATGGAGGCCTTCAGAAGGTCTTAGGCAGATCGGAGTATCTGCTTATACACTCGTTTATCTCACCATTCCTTCATTCTACAGACATATTGGCTACCTACTCTTATATGAGAACTAACACTCTGAAGTTTTTCCCCACTTCTCCTACATGGTTTCCTCATTTGATTAAATAGGCCTCGCCACAGGAATCCCATTCAATCCCCATTCGATTTTAATCTTGTTTGGCTAATTGTTTCAGCCTGTTGGAATCTTCTTGAATTTCAACTGTGTCATCTAGTGTTATCCTTCTAACTTTGTACCATCCTCTGAGAATCTGGTAAGTACATGCTCTACATTTTTATTATAAGCATTGATAAAAATATGGAGTGGGATAGTACTAAGACACACAGGACACTATGCAAAAACTCCCTCCCTGTTGACATGAATTCTTTAACAAGCTCCCTTGTGGTGATATTCTGTTGCCTATGCTACATCACTCTACCTCTTCCAAGAGAAGAGCATAAAAGATCTTGCCAAATAAGTTTTGAAGTCCAAATGCACCATGCCCATTTCCTTCTCTCATCTAGCTTGCAAGTAAATGAATGATGCTGGCAGGTAAAAGAACACAACTAGGTTGACAAGACTTGTTTTTAGCACGTCAGTGCCAAATGGCCATGTCTCTTACCCAGTGTTTACAAACAGCTCTTTTAACTGACTGCTATACACGCTTACCTGTGACAGACAACAAGCTCACTGTTTCACATGTAGAAATCTTTTCTCTTTCTGTGAAGCAGAATTACGTTATGTCTGTTTCTAACCGGTGACATCCTTTTCCCTTGATTTTTCATTTTTCTAAAGGAATATCATCTCCCTGAGCCCAAAGACCAAATTTGCAAGTTTTCTCAGTATCTTTTTCTTTAAAATCACTTTGACAAACTCTTATGGGCACGTGAAAACTGGTGAAATGTGAGGGTGTATTATAACACAGAGTATAGGGTAGCCCAGAGTAGCAGCCTTTGGAGCCTGGAGAGGAATGTGAACTGTTTAAGCTGTGCTTTCTTTGGATGGTTTTGGTATATGGCTGCCTAGAGCCATTCGTGTGGTTTAGGATGATAGTTACTTGAAGTACCTCTCAACTAGAGATTTTTTGAAAACTGAGCTTTAAATATTTTTTCTTCTCTCCCTCCACCCACAGTGCTCATCTCTGCCATCAATACCTCCAAAGAACCACATGCAAGTCTACCAGCAGCTGAGTCTGGACTTACCCACTTGCCCAAGCCTGGGTAGTCATGTTCTGGATCAAAAAGGTGCTGGTGCAACTGGAATTCTCGACTGAACTCTGCTGTGTCAGGGGTGTTTTCTAGACATCCATCATCTGCTGCAAACAGCCAACATTTTAAAAATGGCCAAGGCAACGATCATTACTCTAAGAGTTAATTCATCAAAAAACATCTAGACATACAAAAGTCCGAGTGTTTTCCTATCGGCCCCTTCAAGTCCTTGTCCCTTGGAAAACCAATCTCCCTATTTACGTAAGATTGTTTATCGCAGCTCCTGCTCCTGTGGCAAAGACCTGACCTGTTGGCTGTCCACTAAATCCACTTCATTTTCCTTCTTGTCATACAACTGGGCTAATTTTCCCACCTTGCTTTGTGTTTAGGTCGTCATACACCTGAGTTTGGTCCAACAGAACGTGGGCAGATAACAATATATTCCACTCCCGGTCCTGGTCCATAAAAACTTCCTGTGATGCTCTGTCCCCTACCCCTCCCCTTCATCTGCTGTCTGCATGCTGCACGGTGCCCCTCAAGGCCAGGTGAGTGTCACTGGAGAGATGGGAGTTTAGAGGGCTGAACCATGCACCTTCCTTCCCCTCACCCACACAAGTGAGAAATTAATTTCTTTTATGTTGAGCCACTAAAGTATTTTATCTGTTACATCAATTATTTTTGTAACTAATATACATCCATTCCACATCATTCTCTGTTTTCTCTTGGGTAAACTATTTAGAAAACACTTCAGAATCTTTAAGGAAGTATATTATAAAAATAAGAACAGTAATCCTTAGAGCTTGATATAATGGCTTTCTCTTTGGTGTCAGACCACAGATCAAGGATCAAAGTCCAGTTAGCTCCTTGGGAAAGTTAACCTATGTTCTCTATGGCTACTTATGCATGTCAGATGCAAATAATCAAACACCTACAGAGTTGCTTTGAGGAAAAGAGACTATCATATAGGAAACATCAGACATGCAAGTTTGCAATGAGTGTTAGTCCTCTCTGCCATCTCCCATTAAATGACAATTTATTATGTGATTTCATTTTTTGACAAAGTATATTTTCAATCCAAATCAAAGAAAAAAGGTTATCTCTGCTAGGATGCTGCTTTTAGCTAAGACCTAGCCAAAAGATCTTATTAGGTATGATACCCTAAAAGTGAGTGCTTTTTATCATTCTAGTATACTTTAGACAACAGTTTTAGTAAGAAGGAGATCCTGGAACACTCGTGCATTCTTGTAATCCTCATTACTTAGGAAGTTGACACCTGAGGATCACAATAGTGAACCTAGCCTGGGTAACTTAGCAAGACGCTCTTTCAAAGCAAAAATTAAACAGGGTGTAGCTCAATGGGAGAGCATTCTTGGGTTTGATCCCCAGTATTGCAAAAAAAAAAAAAAAAAAAAAAAAAGTAAAGAAAGAAAGAAAAAGGAAAAGATAGAGAAGGGAAAGTAAATTTTGTGCAGTGTTGCAGGGATGGATAGAGGGTTACTTTTTTGGGTACCCGGGATCAAACTCACCACCTCACACTTGCCAGTCAGGCACTTATGCTGCTGAGCTAAATCCGCAGCCCCAGAGGGTTACTTTTTAAAGGGACAGTAATGCCTTAAAATCAATACTAAAAGGGAATCTACTTAAAATTAGTCAAGATATGTTGGTTTGGGGACTGAACTGGAGATTTCCAGAAGTCTTAAGCAAGCAGCTCTCTCTCTTAGCAATCTGAAGCTAGTGTGGAAGTCCTTAGCATTCTGAGCAAATCTCCAAAGTGACATTGAAGATGGTTCCCCACTTTTTACCGAGCTATTTCTACTTTTTTCATCTAAAGCAATCAACATGTAGGAAAGGTATACTGGGCAGAAGATAGTGGCAGCAGCGTGCATGTGGCCATCTGCAATATTTTCATAATTCCTTCTCAGGTACTTCTAAGTGGGTTGAGACAGACATCTAGAGACAAAACACTACCCTGGGACCTGAGGATCTGGAGTCTACATATTTGCTCTAGAGTTCGCATCCAAGCCCTGAGGCCAAGACAGGGTCTTTGTACTGAGTCACAAAGGATTCCTTGTGAGTCAGGTCTTCTCAAGCAACTCTGCACAAATAATGGCTAAATATTGCAAGTTATTTTTCTGTTACTTTATCAACTGTGGTAGAACAAATAATGGAAATATGTTAGCTTAGTGGGAAGACAGCAAAGGAAATGATAATATGCAAACAGAGCGGGGATTCTCTCTACCTCCATGAGCTCACATAGACTGCTTGCCTCTCAGAGTCCTAGGTACACAAAACTAGGTTGATTATATTCTTTTTTCTCCTTTTTTTTCAGGACAGCCTACACTACACTATGTGTTTCTTTAAGGCACTGATTATGTCAATCCTTTGATAGATGAGGACACAGAGGCCCAAGGAAGTGAAGGGATATGCTGTGGACAACAGCAGGAGTCAGATCTTTTGGTTCAAATTCTGGGTTTCTTTCCATGTCTTATAAGAGCAGGTCTCAAACTCTAGTATGTACCAGAATCACTTGGAGGGCTGGTTACCACATGTGTGCTGTTTCTGATTCAGTGATCTAGGGAAAGGCCTGAAGCTTTGCTTTGCTGGTAAATTATTGGCTGAGACCATGCTGGGTCACACTTTGGGAACCACAGGACTACACTATTCTAATCAACCTAAGTAGACCCCTGCGGAGACTGTTCTCCAAACTGAATTGGTGTTTTTTCCTACCCATCCAAATCTCTACTAGCAAGTAAAATGTGACTGAAATAATTGAAGCCAGGCAGTGACTCAGGCTTTCCTGCCATTCTTGGGCAGCAACCTCGCATTAGCTAGTCCCATCCGGCTACTCTGACTCCATGGAAGTTTGGGAAGGCCACACCTTAGATGATAATAGACTCATCTTCCTGAAGAGAGAGACTGTGCTGCAGTCCATATTAGAATTTCCAGTTTCCTCCCAAAGCCTCTACTGTCTACATGACTCAATGGCATGCCTGTTACCTGTTTTTCCAACTGGACAGGGATTTGGAGGGTCAGGGTAACCCTGATCCTCACTGAAGTCCTTAGGAATGTTGTCACCAGTCAACTCTGCCACAATGTTGGGGATGTTGCCAAAAGGACCCAAGTGCTGCAGACCTTCATGAGCTCCACCTGCCAGGAAATCAGAAGTACATTCACTGGAGTGTGGTTAAATGCATTTAACTCATATTCAGTCAGGCACTCACACCATACAGGCAAAGCACTGTACTCTATACTGTGGGCAGAGAAAAATGAATGAAACAGTTCCCCGCCCTCTAAGGGTTTAGAAATTCAGCAGCAGAAACAGGCACATTCTGTGCATACACCATTTACACACAAAGCAGTCTGTATCCGTGCCATAACAGAAATGTTAAGACAGTCTAACACTCTGGGGGCATGGAAGAGGAAAGATGTAGTTTGGCTGGTGGGATGGAAGGACTTCTTGACTGATTGGAACTTGTATGGCACTGACACAGGAGATGGGAGAGGGATGGGGTCAGACAGGGAAGCAATGATAATCAAAGTAACTGACTGAAAGAACATCCTGAAAACAATGGCAAGGGGCCAAGCACTTTGGCAGACAACTGTAATCCTAGCTACTTGGAGGCCTGAAGCAGGAAGATCAAAAGTTCAAAGCTAGGTTGGGCAATTTATCAAGACCCTATCTCAAAATAAAAACTAAAGAGACAGGGGGGATGTTGAACACCCCTGGTTCAACCCCCAATATTGAAAAACGAGAGAGAGAGAGAGAGAGAGAGAGAGAGAGAGAGAGAGAGAGAGAGAGAGAGATCACTAGCTCAGTCACTTAAAATTTAATGTATTTCATACAAGTGTTTTTCTTCTGTGTATCTTTTCATGCACAAATCTTTATTCTTTTTTCATTTGATATTAAAGTACAAGAATCTTTCCATTTGTCTGCAGTTGTTCATGCCCAAATTACTAATTGCTATAGTTTTTATCCAATCACTCTAGCACGACATATTAACTATTCCCCTCTTGTGAAGCAGTTAGTGTTTCCCAGTTTATTTTAGGCCTTTAATTTTTTCCATATTTTGCATTAATCTTTCTCAGGATAAGTTCCCAGAAGTCAAATTACTGGGTCAAAAGCCATAAATACTTTTATAGCTGATGATATTATTCTGCCAAATGTTTTTCAAAAAGGAGGCACTAATTTATAAAATATCACCAACAAAATATGAAAACACTATTTTTTACAACATCCTCACTAGCACTGGGTTTTATAAAAATAAAATTGTATATTTTTTGCTAACTTAAATTTAGAAAAATTTAATAAAACAATGAATTCTGGAAATTCCTGTTTTGAATATCTTTGATTACCAGCTCAAATATTTTTCCCTTTGTTTATTGACTAGATTTAATTTCTTTTTTATGACTTGTCTGTTTATGCTTTTGGAATTATAATGTTTCTCTTATCAATTTGTACAAGCATTTCACATAATAAATATATCAGGCATTTGGCTTCACATTTTTTGCAAGTATTTCCCATGTTGACTTTTAATCCTGGTAGTTTTTATCCAATAGTATACTATTTTGCTAACACAAGTTTTCAATATTTGCAGTCAGACTGCTTTTTTCTCTTGTGATTTCATCTTGTCCTACACTTGCAAAATTGTCTCTTCAGTGGTACTACCAACATTTGAGCATTTCTTTTAGTTTTTCTATTTTTTAAATTAACTCTTTACGTATTTATTTCAATGTATGGAAAATAGTTTACCTATTATCCCACTGGCATTTGCTAAATAATTCTGTTTTTTTCTCAGTTATCTCATTCCTCCAACAAATGTCCAAGAGTCTCATACACACTATTATGGTTTGTGTTTAAATGTGCCCCTAAAGCCTCATGCAGTCATGGAGATGGCTGAATCTAGCGTTTGTGATTGGTTCATTGTCTGGTGCCGGGATTGGTGGTGTGAGTGCTGCACCCACCCAGGGGCAGGTGACCAGCATATAATATAGAGGAGGGAAGGAGGCGTGCTCTTCCCATTTTACCTTTTGCTCTTTTCATTCCTGTCACTGGTGGCTGCTGTGAATGGTTAACCCTTAACCATGCCACTCTGCCTTGGAGCCAGCGAGTACGCATTGAAACCTCCCAAAACTGCAAGAAAAATAAATCTTTTCTTCCTTCATTTTGGGTATCAGTTATTTTGTCCTAGCAATGAAAAAAATGTAACCAAGACACACATCAAACCCTTCTCAGGACATAGAACTGAGTACAGACACTCAACATCACATAATTTGATTTACTATATATAAGAAGTGCATCCAGTTTCTGGCCTTTTCATTTCATACAGTTTCAACATTTCATAAGACTTTGGAAGCTTTTCTAGCAGCACAGGCGAGCACATCTTGAGAGGAATTTATGTTTATCAGTGCCACTGGAACACAGCAGCTCCATGAATGGGGCTATCTTAAGGAGCAGTTGCTTTGTACACAGGTGTATGTAGGAGAGGCCAGCAAGTGACTTTGGATGCACAAAATTAGAACCAAAACCAGTAAATCTAACACCATGATTTCACTTTTACAAAAGATCTTGCCCATTGGCCAGATTGTCCAAGTTCAGCTGGATGAGGCTCCCTCTCCCTGGATAAGAATCAGCACTTGTTTGCATATTTTTGGTTAAACCAAATCCCTTATAGATTGACAGTTTTTCGGGGGGGGGGGGTAATAAATACATTCAGTAAGATCATGACTAGATCTCAGTGTCATATGAATCATATTGTCTCTGAAATGACTTTGTACCACTCTCCATTTAGTATACTTAAAATTAAAATGTGGGGGGAAAATCTTGCCTTTTTTCCCTCTGGTCTTCAAATTCAGACACCACCATGTGGCTAGGTTTGTTGTTTTGTTTATATTTTTATTTTATTTCATTGCTTTATGATGAGAGTAGCCTGCAAAATTTCTGCATTCAAAATTGGTATTTTCTTTATAGACTACAGCTCATTTTTTGTTTTCATGTAAATATTTAAAATATTTTATATAATCTATAAATGTCCAAATATAACCAAATTATTCAACATTGTTGATTGTATTCTTTTGTCCTTTTTCATATTTTATCATAATTCAGTGGCTATATGTTAAAATCTACTATAACCAACAAGTATCTGCTAGTCTCATATTACTTTCTCTTTTTACTTTATCACTTTGATATCATGTAAGTTGACATGTCCAAGGATATAAAATTTTTAATTATGTTAGTAATTGACCAATAAATGATATCTAATTCATAGGCCATCTTTTCATTCATATTTCTTTTATTAGCTGGCTGCTTTTATTGTGCTGGTTTATCATTTATTTTTAAATTTTCTATATCTTTTTTGATGGTTTGTGGTAGTTGCTTTCAGAGGTACTCTATGAACACATATTTGCTACTCTACATTAACCAAAACCTGCAGAAGTCAAAGTGCTGTACCAGTTCCCTTGGGCTTGATGTATGTGAAGCTTTGTATAACCTTGGCATCGCAGCCACCACTGTGAGTGCTACAGGGCATGATCTCCAGTGTGTCAATACATGTCTCAACTTTTGAAAGCGCCCTCATATTAAGTGCCAGGAATTATCCAACTTGGCTCAAGGGGGAATACACGTCTTAATGCTGCATTAGTAATTAATGAAAGAAGCAAACACAGCTTCCCTTATGGAAGGCCTGCCAAGGCTCTGTTTACCTGGGTGCACCAGTGCCATTAAAATGAATGCAGCACTTGTTAGGAAGGAACAGATGTTTAGAACTAGGTAGATATATTGGAACACAAGCTCTTTTCAAACTACATCTAATGACAGCAAATCAAGACACATTCACTAATGTAGGAATTTTGGGAGAGATGTAGAAGAAATGCTCTCCTTTTCACTTTAGAAAAGCTGGAATTTTATAAACAACTAAACACATAGAAAATAATTTGAAAAGTATACAGTTGCATGCCCAAGCAAATGCTGGTTCATTACCATGTTTATATCATATTGATCTGTTATATCTGAAATCAAATCAACCAAAATGTTATGATACTATTATGGGTGATATATATTTGGTCAATTCATATCTGTCTCCTGCATTAAAAACCAAAACATTTTTTAAAATTATTAATCAATTGAAAAATTATTTATTGAGCACAATCTATACATCAATTCCTGGACCAAACACTGGAGGCTAATGATAAATCATATTGTGTGCACCTTGATTTCATAGAGTTTACAGGACATAAGGATAAAAAAAAGACATGGACTTATAATCCAGCCACTTGTAATACACTTTGTCCCATAATTGAGGTACAGCAAGATGTCACAGTTGTATAGAGGAGAAAAATCGAGCCCAGGTGTAGAAAATGGAAGACTTCCTGTGAGAAGTAACACATCAGTGATTTTTCTGGTTGCTATAGAAGACTAAAAGATGACAGACATTGTTCTTGCTCTCTAGGAGCTTGCTGAAGACTGATTCAGCATGCCATGGTGCATAATAGATCTACCCTGTCATGGAGTTCGAGTGTGGTGTACACCATAGACGGTGACACACACAGCACACCACCATGCAGGCAGGAAGGAAGGAAGGAAGTTACAGCTGGCTTCAAGACTGTTACTGAAACTCAAGCATGAAGTGACAAGGACTGGGATTAGGGTGACCACAGAATGAGTAGAAATGGACAATTCTAACAATGCGCCCAGAGAAATCTGTCACAAGTCTATGATGTTCCCAAAGTCTACAGGCCTGACGAGCTGAGAAAGTACTACTATCGGTAAAGACAAGGTCTTTTATTTACAGCTTTGGAAATTTTTCAGGGAATTACTTTATTTCTCTGTTTCCAACACCTCCAACATTCACATGGTCATCGTGCTGTGCAAATATTTCTCAAGTAACGGAAAAGTTTCACTCTTGTCAAGTGAGCTTTGAGCCAGGTCAGGTTTACATAACTTTATGTGATAAAAGTGGTGCCACTTGCAGTTTGTTTCTCAACAGTTTAGTTGTAGATTTTCTTTGGGTTCTTGTGGCAAATAAAAGTTGTTCTTAGTTGTAATGTTCAAGGGCAGTGGGGTTGGGGTGAGAAAAACAAAGGGATACTTTGAGTTTAATCTGGGTTAGAGCCATTAAATCTTTTTTTTTAAGTTCTGGAGATGGAACACA